GAGAATATATGATGAATCTCCAATGAAAAGAAAAGATATTCAAAAACAATCTGAGATCCTCCCGTTTTTTGAGGAGGGATTATTTTACGATTTGCCCTAAGGTCCCAAATCCGACGAATATCAAAGAAATATACGATAAATATTCGAGAATCCAAAAATTAATTACATAAATGAATTAAAAGGAAATCAGGGTTGGTGGTTGATTGATCCATGGTTGTTTCCTTCCACCCTTTTCCGACGACAGACTAAATGGCGCTGGCGTGTAACGTGCGCCTCTGTGGCTAACAGGCGTTCGCGTTTCATCTTGCCGCTAGGTACGTCGCACGGACCAGAAAGATATGAGAGCAAATGCCTATTGCGAAATGTGGATGCCGTCCGTCATGCTGGAGCGCTGTTGACGGATGCACGACGAACACCTGTAGAGCAACGAATTCAGGAAACATCCGTCATAGCTACGAATCCGAAAACAAACTGCACGGTGGGAGCTTCGCCAGCGAAGGCTACACCGCGCACCGTACTCACCCACACGAGAAAGAACAGCAACAAAAGCACGCTTCAATTTGAAGATGTGCGAGATTCGTGCGCGAAATTCTTCTCGTCGGCTAGGAACATGATGCTGGCCCAAGAATTGCTTTGCTGCTGCGTGGTATCGCTGCGTTGCTGAGTTGTTGCTGCTGTTGCAGTTGCTGCTGCCGTTGCGATGTTGCTACAATGATTGACTTGGGACAGCTGGGCATACAACAAAAAAACAATCGGGAGCTTCAGCAGGAGCGCATCACAAGTGCAATGTTTTCCCCGAAGATGCACTCCGCTGCAATCCCACACATTCCCAGGAGAGACCGGCGTTACAAGTAACTAGGAAACTCACACACTCATACATGTGATGCAGGTCCTAGCAGAAACGGAAGCCTCCGAAAGTCCTCGAGCCCACACAAATATGCCAAAGGTCCAAGGCTGCGCTGGTTTAAACTCCTCTGACCCAGGGTCAATAGGTTTTAGGATTCAAGCCCCTACATATACCTGGGCAGCGCTTCAGGTATTCCTTGTTTTTTTCAGGCTTCCTTAGGCGAATCCTGAAACCTAAAGCCCTCAACTACGATGGAGTTGCTGGAAAGCTAGAGGAACCAGAATTTCTAAGACCACAGCCTCTGCACGCCAATGCTGAGAAAGGTTGGAGGGCTGAGGACGACCCCCCCCCCCCCAAATCAACAGATCTCCCTCAGATCATTTTGGCATGAGGCTGTCCGGCGCTAGGTTTTGCTACAGGTTCAGAGAATATGGGGCCGGGCTTCGGGGCCGAGAGCTTCGGCTTACTTCACGCCTAATGAGCCCGAAGCTTCAGAAGCTTAAGGATGTTCACGATTGATTTCCAAGCGCGCGACCTTCCTCTGAGCGAAACGAGGCCTTTGGATCTCAGTCCCGTAGAAGGTGGAGGCAAACCAACGTGCCTCAGCCAAAGGAGCTTTCAGCCACCCCCCATTCACTTCTAGCACAGTGCCGCAATGCCTCCTCAGTTCTCCGATTCTCTGATCGTGCTGTCGGTCTTTTCCGTCGGGCCATGCGGAGAGGGCTGCGACAAGCGCTGCGAAGAGGTCGAGATCTGCCGCAGAGCGGCCTACAGGCCTATAGGACACTGTGAAACATCCACTGGCCTGCGCACAGGCGCGCGCCAGGTGCACTCATACATCGGGCACTCCCCCACAACATCATGGCATCAAATGATGCGAGCATATGCGAGCGCTTTTGGCTAGAAGCCGCGGTCGCCCAAGGACCCCAAGGGGCCCCGGGCCTGAACCCGTGGCTCAGGAAGAGAGCTCGGCCAGGCGTTGCTTTCGGCAAGCTTGGCGAATTTGGAAAGCTGGGAAATGGAAGACAGCTCCGTGGATAGATCCGACAGCTCCGACAGCTCCGACAGCTCTGATGCTTTACTCAAGGCTTGCGCGAAGTCCGAGGCTGTTGCGAGGGAGCCGACAAGGCTGCCCAAGCCTCGGGACTGTGCGTTGTAGCTGAGGCTCAGCACCTCATGGCCCTGCTTCATGTGCTCCAGCAAATACTCTGAAGAGGTCTTCAGCTCCTGCATGGCTCACAGAGTGGGGCAGGCTGAATATCGACTTCGTGCCGTCTCTTATAGTGCGCCCGAGTCACATCGACCAAACCTTTCTCCAAGGCATCCGCCCCGAACCATACTTCACCAGTCGCGACCTCCTGACGCGGAGGGACCGGGAGAGTAAACCGCACATACAGACAGACATGTCATCACATCCGCCCAATCCACCCAATCGCTCCTCTATGTTTAGATTGGGACGGTTGCCCTTCACAAAGCTGGAGAACTGTCGATAGATGCGATTGACGTCCTGGGGCCCAGCAGGGTGACAACAACAGAATCCGAAGAAGCGCAACTGCCTAAAATCGAGTGATGTCTTCGGTCACATCGTGATGTCTCAAACCATGTCCTCCTCGGCTTTCTCCAAGGCTTCGGGTGTCGGGGCTTGGAAGGGGTCGATGGTCCGCTTCCACTTCCCGGCCGTCGTTTGGATGACCTTCAGCCCCTCCCGGTCCAAGCGCTCCACTGCGTTGGGTACGCCCGCGATCCTTGAAAGCATGGACTCACTTCTGGGGTGTGTAATGTCTTAATGTCTTTCGGGTTTCGCCTGCCCGTCCCCCTTCATGTGCTCCAAAGCAGCACGCCGATGCTGCCGACTGCTGCGAAGGGCGAGCACCTGACATGCCAACCGCAAGGCATGGCCAAAGACGGCCTAGGCACCCCTTACAGTATAATTCCTCGCACAGGCACAGGACATGGTCGGCGCAGCAGGCCATCATGTACCCACCGCTGGCTGCCAGCTCGTCCACGCAGGCGACGAGGCGTACGTTGCGGTGACGGAACCGCAGCAGCTGCGCCGCCGCCAGCCCTCGGCATGTGATGAAAGGGCAGGGGAGAACGGTGTGTGATGGCTACGGTGGACTCCAAGCGGCCATAGCCCGTGACCGTACCTGAGCCCAGCATGTGTCGACCCGCCCGCAACTCGAAACATTGGAAACTCTGTTTCGCCCCAGATGTCTTGAGGTTCTCGCCTCCGGGCGACTTGAGCTTCAACACTACCTGAGCTCGACCGGCACGAACTCCACGCTGCATCCGCTCGGTCACCATGACAGTGGCTCAGCAGCAGAAAGAGAGCACTTTGGCAGAGAGAGAGAATGAGAGAGAGAGAGAGAGAGAGAGAAAAAAAAAAAGGAAGAAAAGTCGGCTCTCCCCGGGCGCCTCCTTGGGGGGCTGCTTGGCCTCGAGGATGGCCGTGACCTCCTGGGAGAGCAGGGCGACCCCAGCAGCCGTGGGGTCGCCGTCGAAGTCTAGGACGTAGACCTGAAATTCATGGCTGGGATCGCATCAAACATCTAAATGTCTATTCCTTATTGGGTTTAAAGTACCCCTAAAAAGGCAACATGATACCCAACTATGACCAAGAGACCGTGCTGGGCGAGTTTTCGGATGCTTCCGCTTTCTTGGCTTCGGCTTGGTCAAGCAACCAGCTGAGGTCCACGTTCTCAGACAGGACCTTCTTCAAGTTCTCGAACTTGGAGTCGGGGACGGCCTTCTTGATGCTGTTGATGAGCTCCTGCAGGCTGTGAGAGAAAACAAAAACATGGGGGTCCTTCCATTTTCTTCCCGGTACGCCTCCTGAAGACTTCATATAAAAGTTCAAATTGGGCCCTTCGGCTCTTCTTCCCTCCGTCTCCTCTTGCAGCCGGATCTGCTTGTCCAAGCTGGAGGTCACCTGGAAGCGGCTCGACATCCCGCCAAAGAAGGAGCTGTCGAAGAGGGAAGCGAGCCTGAAAAGACACACCAGAGCTGAATCAAAGCTCCTTTTCTACGCCATGGTTTTTTCTGGTTGAAGTTCCGGTCAGCCTTCCTAGAACTTACACTTCCCAAAGTGCACTTATACAAGTAGAAGGGACTGCCCCTGCTAGAGTTGCGTGTTGAGCCATTTCACAGAGCCTTTTAACTTCAACTTCCTCTTTTGCCACACCAGGCAGCCACTGGCCGCGGGACTCGCGGAACTCCTCCTGCCTCTCCCGCTCGCTTTCCATGTACTTCGCCACCGCCTCCTCGATCTTCTGCCTCTCCGCCTCCGAGATGGCCACGTCATCCAACACCTTCTTCTTTTTGAGAGCACAAGGGGGTGAAGATTGGGGGAGTTAAGTTAAGTGGCAAAAGAAATCTCACTGTGAAGGCAGCCCTCTGCGACTGAGCCCGGTGCATGCTGCCAGGTCTCGGCAAAGCGCCGGCGCCGCGTCTGGTCCCGCAGGGCAGCTCCAGCAGAGGGTCCTTCCAGATTCCGCAGACTCCACTGCAACTTGGTGTAGAAAGCACACACGTGCAGCAGCGACATGGCCTGGGAAGCTCAGCGTCAGAAACGCACATGTGCAAAAGGGAAAAGCGTGAAAAACATTCTCGCAAATTATCGAAAAAGGCGGCTATAGGGTCAAGGATTGAAGATCTATTCCGGTTGTCCTGCTGAAGTCGCTTCTTTTGGTGATACGTCCGTGGGGGTAGACGATGTTCATTTTTGAGGGAGTCCCCGCCCCCACAATGGTGTCCGAATGGGCACGACTGTTGTCTTGGGGAGCAGCCCCGTACCTGGATGGCTTGGTTGAGTCGGAGAGTTGGGTGCTTTACAGATTTTACAGCGCTTGCGTGTGACTTGAGAGCTTCTCCGACCATGCGCCCGTCTGAATGAGGCCGCAAATACACCACCAAGCCTTGAAAGTCACCTTCTGAAGAGGACTATCGACATGAATTGCTAGGAATATGCTTTCGTGACATACGTGGAAGCAGAAGCGTAAACCTTCCGGGGCTTTTAATGTCTGTTCATGCAAGTCATTGCGCGTCCCTGCAACATCCCTGTCTGTCCTGAGGTTTGCTCCGCCAATGCTGCTTGAAAGCTAACGACCTCGCTTACAGGTGCTCGGCACGTGTCACACATGTTCGCGCAGATCATAATGCAATACTACAGTACTAGAACAGTACAAAAAACACAATCATGCAATCATACGCTCGCGCAAGAAATGATAGCGTCCACGCTGTCGCCCATGCCTCGTCATTGAGGCGGACGACCTTCAGGCGCCTCTCCTGCTAAGTCTAAGGAGTCGCTTCTATGAAGGGTTGACTTTGACGATCCTTGTGCTGACAAGAGAGCACTCCAAAAAGCGCGGCAGGCCGTCCAGGGTCAAACCCTCCGTCCTCCAGCAAGTCTGCAGGCTCGCCGGCGAAGCGCCGCAGAGCTTTCTCGAAAAGCTTGGAGCTCTTGCGACTGTCCTGGCAGTACCGCTCAGGATGCTCTTGCCCCATGAGTCCTCCTTCCCTCCCGGCGCGACCTTCCCGAACTGCTGATCAAGCTCGCGGACAACGAAGAGCCCCCCAACAGCAGCAAGCAGGAACTTGAAGACAGCGAAGACGCCGTAGAGCAGCAATGCCCCGAAGCCCAGGAGGAGCAGACTCGGCGTGGACTCTCCGCTTCCACCGTCCTGTCCCGTCGCCTTCTTGATCAGCTGCGCCAGCGCGTCCTCCGGGGACTGCGGGTCCTCCGCGAGAGCCCCCAAAGGGGCCCACAGCGGAGCCCAAGCGAGCTGCTGCAGCCATCCCGGCACCTTCTCATGAACGTGCTCATGTTTCGGAGGTCAGTTCACTGGAATGTAGGGAGTTCCCGTAAGGTCAGAGGGGAGAGGGGGTTCTCAGAAGGGATCTGCACGGAGAGGAGAGAAATATCTGTTTCCCCCATTTCTCCCCCTGTCCCCCCAAACCCTAAACCCTAAACCCTAAACCCTAAACCCTAAACCCTAAACCCTAAACCCTAAACCCTAAACCCTAAACCCTAAACCCTTTTTACTACCGATTTATCCGGTTGCAACATCGGAGAATGGAAACAGATTGTCAACAAACAAATATCAACAAAATCAAAACAATCAAAGCAACTATTTATGAAATCAGTAATGAGCAATGAAAATGAAGACAGTAAAAATGGAGAAGATGATAACAATGATAATTATATAGATGATGATACAGATACTGGTCAATATACACAAGAAAATATCACAACAAACAGCTAAACCCTAAACCCTAAACCCTAAACCCTAAACCCTAAACCCTAAACCCTAAACCCTAAACCCTAAACCCTAAACCCTAAACCCTAAACCCTACACCCTAAACCCCTCCGCACAGAGGCCTTGGCTCTGGCCTCAGCCTTGGCTTCCGGTGCCAGGAAGCATTGGGCACGGCCCAAGAGGAGGCCAAGGCCAACCAGGCCTGGCACTCTATGGGATGCTCACATACTTCGACAAACAAATTAACACAAACATAAACATATATTAAAAAAATGTATATGTATGTATACATATATATGAAAGAAGAAAACTAGATATGTGTATATACATGTGCATATATCTATACCTATATAAATATAATCAATGAAGAACTATATATATATATATGTATATATATATATCTCTCTCTCTCTCTCTCGGAGATATGTCGAATATCTCTTGCTATATCCTGGAGTCCCTGCTTCTTGCGTTCCTGTTCACTTGTTGTGCGGGCGCCTTCCAGGTTTCTGGATTGGGCTTCTGTGACAACTGCGAAACCAGTCTCCTACGTTTGCCGTTAGGTTCTTGATCTTTGCAGGCATCACCTGCAGGACTCACCAGCACCGAGTCGCGGACAGCATTCAGATTCCGTCTTGCTGCATGGACAAGCCCGAGGCCCAGATACTGCCACGCGCCCCTGAGATTTGCCCTTTTTGTTTAGGCTCCCCCATACTGGGATCATAATTTACAGAACTGACTATTCCACCAAACTGCCCCGACGTCAAGTGGTCCTCTTTGCTGCACCAAGTGCTTTCGGCCTAGGCCTTTTGAGGGTTGAGGGAACAACACCCGGCAATCACCGTAAAATGACTTGCCTTCGATATAGGCTTTATGTGTGCAATCTTGCTTGACAACTCACTTCGTCACATTGTTATCCATGTGTGCTGCGCATATTAATGTCCATCGTGTTGAAAGCTCCACAGACTGCAACTGGCACACATGATCCGAAACTGTAGCTATGAAGATGACTGAATGACAGACAACATGCAGCAGGCAACAAGGCCTGTCAGCCTGAGCGCGCGGAACCTGCGGATTCTTCCTTGAGCCATGCTGGGCCCTGCAGCACGCAGCAAGTTGATGCCATCCGCACAACCTGGCCAAACCACGATGTTCCTCAACTCTGTGAAAAGGATATGCTAATTTGGTGTTGAAACTCCGTACATGTGCTGCCTGACATACAGCACACAGGCATACGCAGGTGTTGCGTGCGAGCCTTGCAGTTACTTTTATGAAAACGTGTGCTCGGGTCGCATCCAGGAGCGCGGCCCAGCTCCATGGTCTAGGGCATCCGCCTCTGGGGCCAAATTGACCCCCTCAGCGGAGAGGGAAAAAAAAGAGATGGCGCAGTGGACAAGATGCTCACACACACACACACATGAGACAGCTAGATGTTTGCCGCACCAGTCAGCCGGTTTCTACTTGGACATTTTGAGTACCCGAAGCTTTCTGAGGATGCCTTCGGCTGCGAAAGGGCTTATCAGCTTCAACCATTCAAGCCTACAGGGACTCATGACAGGAGTATTCGAGCTTACAGGGCTTCAGAATGCCGCGTCTTCAGGTGCACCACTTACAGGTGCACCCTATCTCTCTCTGCTTTTCTCTCTTCTCTCTCTCTCTCTCTCATGCTCTCTAAGGGTTTAAGTTTGAGAGAGTTTATTGCAGGGAAACCCCCTAATGATCCCGAGGTCCCCTAGGACACAAGTCAGAGGCCCGCCTGCCTTCCCCTGCGCACTTTTGCGGTTCAAAGCGGACCCCCTGTGACCTACAAATGAACGAAGAATGTATGATTAATGTATGAGATGCCCTGAAAGTCCCCCCCCCCCCCCTCCCCCCCCCCCTCTGTGTCCTATCCTTGTCATACCCATGTAAAGCTCGGCCTGCGACGCTCAGGAGCGAGGTGTGGTCGGCATCGCGTGCCAACACTGCTTTTGCTATTTTGGGTTTAGGGGTTTAGGAGTTTAGGGGTTTAGGGGTTTAGGGGTTTAGGGGTTTAGGGGTTTAGGGGTTTAGGGTTTATATGCAGGTGTTAGAATGGGGTGGACTGCTTGGGTCTGCTATGGCCTGCACCTGTCTGCTATGGCCTGCATGCGGAGGACATACTTTATTGAAGAAAGTCACCTTGATTTGCAAGCTACCCGGCTCTCTCCAGAATGCATTGGAAGAGTCGAGACATGGGTCGTGGTGAACCCTTCTCTTAGTTTGCTTATTCGGCACCCTCTATCCGCCTATATAACCTGGAAGGGATTCTATAGGGTGCCACATTCCATAAGTTCCCAACAGGAACAGAGGCTGAGGGGCAGAGTCATGGCAGGGTCATTAAATTAAATGCAAGCACATGATGATGCGACACAGCCGCCAGTTCAAAAGCCGCATTCTCCTCCTGTTTTCGGGCTTACAGACCCTTGGGATTCGACGCTCGCATTTAATTTCTGAACCTGGGACCTTTCGGGAGCCTCCTTTATAGTTCAAAGTTCAACCCCTGCACCCATTTGTCAGGGTTTAGGCTCCCGAGCTCATTTCTGAAGCTGCTTCACGTTTACATCTTTCCTGAGGAAAGCTGTCGCTCTAGTGGAGCACTCCCAGACTTTTTGATGCGTGCGCTCTACCCTGAACCGAATCGAAATGGCAAGTGAACAGCAAACTCGTGACAAAGATCCCCTGCACCGAGAGCTTTGTTCTTACTCATGTCGGGCTCGCCTCGCCGCATATGCAAGATCAGGTCGCAAGCTACAGCTGCAACTTAATTAGTGCTCGTCCCATGGTACGGCCTTTTGAGCTCGACTGTCTCAACTGCGAAAGGAACCGCTCTGAGTGTCACGTGAGGTCGACCTGGGGGTGGTGAGCTGTCATTGCCCGCCCCATGTTACCGCTGACCCATCGGCGAGGACAGCAGAGAAAGCAACCTCACAGGCTGAAATGCGCTGCACATTCTGAAGTCGATGCTGCACGGCGCTGCTGTCACCTCCGCAGTCCGCAGCGCCCCAGGTTACCACGGAACCATCGTCCAAGAGCGCGGCAAAAGCAGCAATGGAAGCTTGGATCTGCTGCACCCCCTCCAGCCGACCTTGCACAGCCAGGCTATCACCTCCAGCGCCTGCATGGCCCCAAGTCTCCACCGACCCATCGGCCAGAATCGCGGCAAAGGCATCCAAAGTGGATTGAATGTGGTGCACATCGGTAAGCTTATCTTGCACGTCGCTGCTGTCGCCTCCTCTTTCTGGATCACCCCAGGTCACCACAGACCAATTACCCAGGATCGCAGCGAAGGCACATCTAGTAGCCTGGATGTGCTGTACTTTTCGCAGCCGATATCTGACGGCACTGCTGTCGCCTCCGTGGTCTGCATCGCCCCAGGTCACCACAGACCCATCGACCAAGATCGCAGCGAATGCCTTCCAGGTGGCTTGAATGTGCTGCACGTGTTTTAGTTGGTCTTGAACAGCACGGCTGTCCCCACCAGCTTCTGCCCGGCCCCAGGTCACCACCGAGCCGTCGGCCAAAATGGCAGCAAAAGCCGCGGACGAAGCCTGGATCTGCTGCACATGTCTTAGTCGATCTTGCACAGCGCTGCTGTCACCACCTTCATCTGCTTCGCCCCAGGTGACCACTGATCCATCACCCAGGATCGCTGCGAAAGCACCGTCAGTGGCCTGAATACGCTGGACGTTCGTCAGCAGGTGCTGCACGGCCCTGCTATCACCCCCATCTTCTGCACTGCCCCACGTCGCCACGGACCCATCATCCATAATAGCAGCAAAAGCAGCGGTTGTGGACTGAACATGTTGTACGTTTTTCAACCGATCATGTACAGCACTACTGTCCCCTCCATATTCTGGGCTGCCCCAGGTCACTATGGACCCATCGTCGAGGATCGCTGCGAAAGCGCCAGCTGTAGCTTGGATTCGCCTCACGCTTTGAAGCCGATCTTTTGCGCCATTGCTGTCACCACCAATCTGCAAGCCACCCCATGTCACGACGGATCCGTCACCTTGAATCGCTGCCCAGGGAGGTGAACCACTAGGATGGGAATCGCGAGCGTCTCGGCGCAAATACGTCATAATGGCAACCTGTCCCAGGAGTTTCGTGTTGCTATCCGCTTCGGTCATGGCAAGGCGGCCATTGCTGATGTTGAGCAAACCTGCGACGCAGCAAGCCCGTATCTTCTGCTGCGGCCGGTCCTGCAGAGATCCGTGCTCGTGTGGGGTGGGTCCCAAAATGAAGCTGCGCTTTCCACTCCCCGCACCCCTGCAACTTTAAACGCACGGTAAGGGGCTTAGTCCCTACACACACAGACACAGAGTTTTCACGCACACAAACAAAAAAGCATCCTGCACATTCCGGCCCAGCCCTCGAAGCTGAAAAAGGTATAAGCTACACAAGCCCAAAACATGCTGAGTCAGACACAAAACCCACGCTGATAGCCGGTGTGCCACAGCTCTGCTGTCACCACCTGTGCTTTCCGCGCCCCAGGTTACCACTGATCCATTGGCCAGGATAGCCGCGAAAGCACCGTCACTGGCTGCAATTTGGTGCACATTTTGAAGCCGACGCTGCACCGTGCTGCTGTCACCTCCACCTCCTGCCTCGCCCCATGTTACAACGGTACCATCGTCCAAGATCGCGGCAAAAGCCCCACTGGAAGCTTGGATCCGCTGCACACTCTTCAGCCGATCTTTCACAGCACTGCTATCACCTCCAGCGCCTGCAGAGCCCCAAGTCACGACGGACCCATCAGCCAAAACCGCGGCAAAGGCATCCAAAGTGGATTGAATGTGGTGCACATCGGTAAGCTTATCTTGCACGTCGCGGCTGTCGCCTCCTCTTTCTGGATCACCCCAGGTCACCACAGACCCATCTGTCAGGATCGCAGCGAAGGCACATCTAGCAGCCTGGATGCACTTAACATGTTGGAGCCGATCTCTTACGGCTCTGCTGTTGCCTCCACCATCTGCCTCGCCCCAGGTCACCACAGACCCATCGACTAAGATCGCAGCAAAGGCATTCCAGGTGGGTTGAATTTGCTGCACGTGTTTTAGTTGGTCTTGAACAGCGCTGCTGTCACCACCAGCTTCTGCCCGGCCCCAGGTCACCACCGAGCCATCGGCCACAATGGCAGCAAAAGAAAGGCAGGAAGCCTGGATCTGCTGCACATGTTTCAGTCGATCTTGCACAGCGCTGCTGTCACCGCCTTCATCTGCTTCGCCCCAGGTGACCACTGATCCATCACCCAGGATCGCCGCGAAAGCATCGTCAGTGGCCTGAATGTGCTGCACGTTCGTCAGCAGGTGCTGCACGGCTGTGCTATCAGCCCCTAAACCGCCCCACGTCGCCACGGACCCATCGCCCAGGATAGCAGCAAAGGCACACATTGAGGACTGAACGTGCTGCACGTTTTTCAACCGATCATGTACAGCACTACTGTCCCCTCCACAATCAGCGTCGCCCCAGGTCACCACGGACCCATCATCGAGGATCGCGGCGAAAGCGCCTTGTGTAGCTTGGATTCGCCTCACGTTTCGAAGCCGATCTTCGACGGCGTAACTGTCTCCTCCCATACTGGCACTTCCCCAGGTAGCTGCGGAGCCATCACCCAGAAGTGCTGCCATGGCCATGGGGCCGAACTCCTTGTCCTCGTCGTCCTCGTCGTCACCGCCTCTTCGTCTGAATGTCGAGACTGCAGTCTGTCCTACCTGCAGGGTCACGGCGTCACCGCTCTGCAGTCTGGCTCTCTTGACACTCAGTGTCCCATCCAACACATGTCCAGCGGAACTCAGCAGCCGTCCTTTTCCAACGGCAAGAGTCCGTTGGGCAAGCTGGTTCAGTGACTCGACCGAAGCATCTGCGTCGACTTCCATGGTGGCTGTCCGGCCGCTCATGAGACCCACTTCAATGGAAACTGCCATGGCAACGAAGGCTCAATTGAAAAGGACCAGGACACGGAGGTGAGCATCCATCTTCCTTTGCCCTCAAGGATGTCACGAGCTGGTCTTCCTACTGAGAGGAAACTGATTGGGCAAATCGTAGGTACCCTACATACTCCCCCTACAGGGTTCTTTCCGGGATACATAGTTCCTACTGCCCGAATTCCCTATGAAGAACTAGAACTGCACCTGCCAAGTCCTGATGTAGTCTAATCGCTGCGACCTGAGAGACGATTCTGCGATTCACGGGGCCATGCGGAGAGAGCGGGCGACGTGTGATCACAGAATCTCGAAGGTGACTTGGGTCGGTTGCAGTGGCTTGCCGCACTTACGGGAGGTGGATGAAGAGATACATGATAGGCGATTTGTCATCATTGTTGTGTTTTTGTTCTTCTTTTGCTGATCTGTCAATCTCAGACTCTTGGGAGACTCAGAGAGGACTTCCCATCCACCTCAACACAACAAGCCTCAACACTAATGCATGAAATTAGCCCTATAAACCCCTAAGCTCTTGGAAGAAGTATACAGGGCTTCGTTCCCAAAAACTACGGGGGTTGAGCTAAGGACCACGAGCACAAGCGAGATCATTCCGACAATGGCTTGGGTTCCTAGGCAATTCCTCCTTTACATGGTCTTCTGCTGGCAGCTTTGTCCTCGCAGTTGCCTGCTATTGGGTCTACGAACTATCAGACTTGGGCGACTGATTGGGATTGATTGGGTAAATTGTGGTAAGTACTTGCTGTAAGCAATCCAAGGCCTGGACCTTTTGGGCTCTCATATGGATCACGAATTTCTTTAAGCATTGTCGTAACACAGAAATCAATGACCCTCTCAGAGTCTCTTGTTGGTGCGGGCTCTGTCGCCTAGGCCCGTGCGTGTTGCAACTTGCGATCAGCCCAATCTTGGTGTTGTTGCGGCCAGAAGAAAGCAGGCTGGGGCTGGGGGATGGGTATGGAAAGGATTCACATGCTCTCGAAGCAGGATTGCACGGCTTTCAAAAGTGGGGGGGGCGGGGGGGACGCAGGCCTTCCACGAGTTGAAACAAGCTTGTGCGGCCAAAAAACAAAGAAGCGGATCCATTTGCAAAAACAATGCTCGTGTTATGGGACTGGGCAAGGATTGACATGCTTTCGAAGCAAGCTTTGCACGGCTAAAGAAAGCTGGCATGATAGGTTTGGAAAGGAGTCAGAAGTTTGCGGCTTGCACAGCGCAATTTGGGGGGATCGCAGCCCCTCCCCCATTTGCACACACAATGCTCGCATGATGGGTATAGCAAGTTTGCACAGCTTACTTGTGCGGCCTAGAAAGAGTGGTGTGGGTGGGTAAGCGGGCGCAGGCCGCCCCCACCCCCCGTTTCTCCATCAAGACAAGGAGACACACAGACTGGACTGGACTTCGGATCTTAACCTCTGCATGCTTGCCCCTCATGATCCAACATTCAGGCGTGTGCTAGAATGCACTGGCTGGCTTCAATGATGGTGCGAAACCGGGGGCACCCTTTCGCCAATCTGTGTTGGATCGGACACAATCAAATTCGCTTGGTATCTCTTGGTCAGACGAACCAGGAACTTGTGCAGGTATGCGCAGGTTGCATGTTCTCAGCGTCTGTCGCCCTTTTCTTTACCTCGTTTGACGTGCGGGCGCGCTTCTTTTGAAGCTGTCCTAAGCCAGGACGTTGTACCGGACTTCGGCATGAAGACTCCTGCTTCATTGATGGGTCACTTGCCAAGGTCCCGTCAAGGGACGCAACGTCTCAAAGCTACATGTCTTTTGCATGGGCTGAGCTATTGGCAGTTCTTTGCTGGTGCTATTCTCTCGGCTGCGTAGCTGAACTGGATGTGACAAAAGATCAACGACTTGCCCGCCGAAAATGGACAGGCGCCAAAGAGAACACCATCTTTTACAAAGCAGCTACGGGAAAACTTGATCAACGGCGGTGCTTGTCACCCACCTTGTTGGACTGCAAGCCTCTTATTCGGCAAGCTCACGGAAGACGAAGAGTGCGGAATTCAAAACTCATGCACGCAATGGGATTAGATCGAGACCAGCGTGGATTTGTACTTCTGGAAGTCAGGAGTGGAACAAAGACGATTGGGCATGCCCAAGGATATCACATCCAAGTCATCCAAGTCATCTGGAATGAGCGCCTGGATTTCCTTTCCCGGGCGTTCACTCGAGGCCATGGGCCTTAGAAGTGACTCCGAGGGCCGAAACCCTAAACCCTAAACCCTAAACAAGCCCTAAAGTCTAAACCGAGGTTTTTGAAAGCTCTGTGGACATTGGGTTCCTCGGTCTGAGCTCCAGAAACGAGCCCTGGAACCCTGAGCCCTACAAGCCTCATGCACATCACATGCCTCTTTCCTGTGACTGCTCCAGGCTACAGCTTGCTTCAAGTAGGACACGTGACAAGAAGGGGGGGGTCCCTAACCCTCAACCCTAAACCGGGCATCTTTTGATTTCACTGATGGAGACAGTCCTATGACCCTGCTTTGTGGTTCAATGGGGGGGGGAGAAATCCTGCCCCGAAGCAGCTATGGTACCCTTCTGCCACGGCAGGCCGGGCCGAGGTGGTCAACGCGCAGCGCTTACCGTGAACATCAGCCCGTAAGTAATTTGAGTATTTGCACACACACACACACAAAAACACAAGCACATGTGTAATACTGAATAAAGAAGTATACATATACATACATAGACTATAAAGACAAATATAAATACGATAAATGTATGTGTATATATATATATACATATCGATACAGGATGATACAAGGACTACTGTACTTTTGAGCCACTTGGGTTGCGTGTACCGAGAGGCTCGACTGCGCAGGCGGGCGTCGGGGTGTCCACACGAAGGCCGCCAAGGTCTCTTGCCTCTGAACCGACGTCTGCAGGGGCTGCAACACCCTCACCTCCGGGTCAATTTGCTCCCAAGGCCCCATTTTTGGCCTCAACCTAATGAAACCCTATTGGGGGAAAAGGGAGACAGGATGCAGGAGAACCGGAATCCCAAGAAAGAGTGTGCCTTCCCGTGACTTCTCAAGGTTGTCGGGGCCTTCTGTGCACAAGTCATTGCCGGAAGCGGAAGCCGACAGATGCTCCTTCTCAAAAAGACTCCTTTCAGGATTTTCCTGAAGGTGCGCAGGGCTGCAGGACGGCGGTTCTTTCCAGCATTGCTCCACCGGGACCGCTTTGTGCAGAGCTGGATGCGACTCCTCAGCTCGGCACTGAGCTGACGTGACCAAAGCAAAGTAAAGCTGGCAGCAATGAGAAGAAACAAGAAGAGCCTTGCCAACCAGCTCAACAACTCCACCCTCACCCTCCCCCCAACCCCCCCCCCCCCCCCCCCCCCCCCCCCCCCCCCCCCCCCACAGAAAAATGGCGTACAAAAACGGTACTTCAAAAGGTTTTGCCAATTTGATCCTAGGATCCCCCAGCCTGCCAAAGAGCCGGGTCGTGTCCCCCAAGTCGGCCGGGGAGCCCTTCTCCTTCCCATCTTTCTCGTCCTTCTCGCTCTCCTCAAAGCGAAGAAGAAGAGAGGAGAGGAAGAAAAGGAGAGGAGCTCAAGGTGGCTCAAGGTGGCCCCTCAACCTCGTGTCACATCTACTTAAGCTTAGCGCATACATGCCTTGGGGCCTTCGCTTGGACACTTGGTACTCCTAAGGCACAGCGAAGGCACCGAAGTAAAGCGTTGCACGTTTTCCTCAAGCATGCGGGCTGTAGCGCGGGGCGCCCAAGTGATGTCACCACCAAGCAAGAAGTAGCCACGGCTGCACCCTAAACCCTAAACCCTATAAACCCTCAACCCTAATTGCACTCTTTGCCCAACTTGGCTCCTGAAGGAGCTTCGGGTGAATGTACCACTTCCAGGCAGGAAGCACCTCAGGACCAACGAACTTGAAGCTCGGTTCACGCCGTTAATAGCACAACCTCAACGTCTGCCCTCTCCCGAAGACGGCGTTCCATGCAAGAGGCCGCTTGTGTTTCAAGAAGCGGCTGGAGGTTTGCCAAGGCTTGTCTAGCCAACAATAGCCAACACATTGGGGACTCATCTTGCTTGTGGGAGCTCACATGCAATCACATGCCATGCGGTCTGGTCCCTGGCACCATCGCAGCCAGCAAGATTGCCAGGAGGAGATTCCTTGGACCCAACGAGGGTACAACATCAGGTCTGACATCTGCCTCCTAGAAGGCTACTTTGGGCGAACGAGCTGCTAATGACAGGTACCAAAATTCCCATGCAGGACGACTGCTCACGGGACCAACATCTGGAACAGGCAGCTGCAATAAGGAAAGGGCTACTTGCGAATGCCATGGATCCCATGAGCCCAGGCTCTGAAGCGGAAGAACGCCAAACCCTCTGCAACCCCAGTGATGCACCTACCATATTGTGTACTATCATACACCTCAATACGTGCACGCATACCACATACCTACATACCTACACACATACTTACATATATGAATATAAATATGAATATAAATATGAATATAAATATGAATACAAATATGAATATAAATATGAATATAAATATGAATACAAATATGAATATAAATATGAATATAAATATGAATATAAATATGAATATCAATATAAATATAAACGTATGCATGTGTTGGTTTGTTGCTTGCATGTGTAGGTGTTCACTCAAAATGTAAACATACAAGAGTCTCAACTCCGAAAAAAAACAAAAAGAAAGGAGGCCGGGGGACGTTACGGGCGGCGGCAGATGGCCCACGTGCTCCTTGGCCACTCCTCCGACGGCAGCGTCGAAGCAACGTTCCCAGGAGATCCCCACCTTTCTCTTGGGCTTAGGGCTGTTTGGGGTTTAGGGTTTAGGGTTTAGGGTTTTTTTTGCCTTAGGGTTTAGGGTTTAAGGGTTTAGGGGTTTAGGGGTTAGGGTTTAGGGTTTAGGGATATTTAGGGTTTAAGGGCTGGGTTTGGGGTTTGGGGCCAAGGGCTGGTAGGGGGAGGGGCACTCTCGGACAGGCCAGGCGAAGCCCACAGGCCAGTAGGGGTGAGGATTTATAGGGTTGAAGGGGTCTATACCTTGGTTTTTTTGGCTCAGGCTTCGGGGTTTTACTGGTTGAGCGACTTCGGATGGGTCACGCGCTTTGAGTTCGGTAGGTTTCAAACTGAACAGGCCTCTGCACGACTCATGGGCGGGGGCCTTGGGTTTAAGATGCAGAGGTCAGAGCTTCAGGCCCGGGCTGGACTATCATTGTCAACAAACCGTGGAATAAATTTCTCGACGACTAAACCGGAGTAAAGCCGTGGACAGAACCAAGGCCTTGGGCACCTCAAAGCCTCGAACCCAGCATCTCCGGAATCCAAGGCACCAGCAATCCTAAAGCTGAGATGATGGTGCGGAGGGCGTTGTCCACTTCTGCATCGTGCGCGTTCATGTCCGCGACCTTCTGATATTTTGTGCTGGATGCAGAGCAGGCCCTACTAGGGAAGTCGACGTTTTTTTTTTGCTTCCAGGACCACAAGAGAAACTCCAAGTGCGACTTCTGTCCGTGCTCCTGGTTTCTGTATTTCATGAGGTTCGAAGGGCCAGCAGATGGCTCCACACCTCCTAATCCGACGGTTCAACCCAAGGAAAGACCTGGAATCCGCGGAAGAAACCTGGAAGCTGAAGCCCGCGAGTTGCCTTGTCGAGGCCAAAGATCAGCATAAAGGCAATGCCTGGGCTGCTGCTGAAAAACTTCGATGAGGCTGCCAAAAAGTTCGACCACAAACTCAACAAACCCCACACCCCAAAAACCGCTCGAAAACACCAAGCAGGATGACCCCATACATCCTCGATCCCCCCCCAAAAAAAAAACCAGCAACAACCCTTCAAGAGTCCTGAAGAAAACCGAAAGGAAACCAAAAAGCACGAAAACAAAAAACAGCTCACATGAGGCAACCCTGGAGCAGGTCCCGGAGAGGGCCGACACCACGGCCTTCATGGAGTGATCCTGGGAAAACTGGACTGGTTTTGAGGTTTAGCTTGGGATGTTCCCCCTTATACTCGATCATACTAGCAGTCCAAAGTTTAGGGTTTATCGGGCTTAGGGCTTATAGGGCTTCGGGGTTCAAGGTGTAAGGACGGAAGGGCTCTTTTATTTACAGAACTCAGACTCAGGAACTCTAAGAAGACATGGCCCAAGAAAGGGTATGTGGGGTTGTTGGGTTCATGGGAAGCCAACCCAAAATCCTCACCCTAAAACCTCCCCCCTCCCGCCCCCCCTCAAAAAAAACAAAGAAAACCAAATCCGAGTCCCGGTGTCAATTTGAAGGCCGGAGGCCACCCACCAGTCGACCGAGATGTGTACGCACCAGGCGAAGCTCATGGCTGAAATCTTCTCGTACCAGTTCCCGCTTCGACATTTCGTCTCCTCTTCACTGCTTTTTGCAAACCCATAAATAAGCGGACGTCAGCTGCATCGGTCTTTTGAGAGCATCTACCAACAAGGGGGAAGTCCCACTAACACAACGGGATGATACAAAAATGGCAACTCGAATCGAAAGAATTTGCGGACGTCTGCGTCGCCAGCCCTACTTCTTCCGTTCCGTTTTGCTTCCCTCCATTGGGCCCAAACATGTGACAAGCATCCCCCAAACAAAGACCGGTCATCTCCTGAAGGCCCACAGGCCCCCCAAAAGGAAGGCCCCTTGCGTTGACACGCTGCGCCGCAGTCCTCGTCGCCACTCACGCCGCGCTGGAACTGCTTGGCCCTGGCGTGCGCCAGCCTCACCAGCTCGGCGACACCCAGGACGAGGCCCATCAAGAGAAGCAAGACACAGGATCCCCTCCTCAGTATACAGTATGCATACCGGGACGGGCTTCTAGGGGTCAAGGTTGGGGGCTCAGGTTCCGTCTGGGGTTCAAGGTCGGGGCTCAGGTTCCGGGCTTGAAATATATGGTAATACCTCGAGATGAAGGTTCAGGAGGGTGGTAGGCGGTTTGTGTGTTCAGGCTTCGGATTCAACATGTGCTTGCCATGGCCTGTGACCGTATTCGTTGTGAATGAAAGTGGAAAGAACGTTAGAATTCATAATCTTATAATATGTATGTATGTATGTATGTATGTATGTATGTATGTATGTATGTATGTATGTATGTATGTATACAAGTGTACATCTAGACCTAGAATCATATAGACACACATTACACATATGCCTTCATGGATCTGTACATATGCGTACATGCACACACTTAAGAAATAATATCTGTATAAATTGTATAAACTTATATACTGCCCGTATTGGATCAAGAATACCGCGTGGATTCATGTAAGAAGTCCACGGCTAAGGCTCGAATGCCAGGAGCCCTCGGGCTCCTCGCCGCCGGGGCCCGGCAACTTTCCCGTGATGCACAGGCGGAGCCTCGGATCTCCGGTGAACGCTGCGGTCGTTCGGAGTTTAATTCAGGTGAATGTTAGATGTTCAGCGTATTCGATCGGCGTCCACACTTGCGTTGATTCTTATTTTTGTTGATACTGGCATCCTGGTAGCACTTGCACGAGCAGGAATGACACGGACAAAGAGATCACTTCATCCTCCGTCTCTGCTACGCACTCGCCCCAAATCACCTCGTACTCATCTTCTTCGCCGTCTGCCATGGTCCGCTCATAGCGCCAGCGTGCGGTGGTGTCATAGACGACAGAAATGCTGATATAAGCAAGAACGGGAACCACAGGGCACCAAAGCCTGGGCAGCGCCTGTTGTAAGCTGCTCCATGCATTCACTGCCGCGAAGCCGGTGATGTGCCCCATGAGAACAGCCCAAGCGTGAGTATTCAACCGGATCTGGTGCCTGGCCAAAAGTTTCCTGTTACCTCTTCGCTTCTACCACGACATCGAAGCGAACCCTTCCCTGGAATGAACAACGAGTTTTAAAAGAATCATTGCTGAAGAAAGGCGAGGATGCAAGTGCCTTTCCGCACGTTCCAGGTGCAGCGGTCGCAGGTGGCTATCGCAACTTGCAGCCTCCGACAGAGCTGCACGCCTGTCAGCTGGAACCTTCTGCTGCCCCACCGCTCCAGAGTAGTACGCCAATACGAGTTGCAGCACACAAAACCACAACATCATGTGCAGCATGTTCACTGCCAGCTGATACCACGTAGCGACGTGATCCAGGAAATAGTAGTGTACCACGCGATCGCAGCCCTGGAACAACAGCAAGGCCCCGAAAATGCTAGTGGTGGTGCTAATGATTTCCCACGTGATCTTCTGAATGTCATCGTCTGGCCAATTCACCAGATAGAACGTGGCCATCATGAAACCCACGCAACCCAGCAGCATCAAGGAGATACAAACATTCTCCACCTCTTGCACCTCAAGGAAAATGGGGAAAGTCTAGAGCTTTCGGAACAAAGGACCATCACAAAGTAAGTCTGTGTGTGTGTGTGTGTGTGTGTGTGTGTGTTTTTTTTGTTTGCGCTTCCAAGATGACATCCACCCCCCCCCCCCCCCCCCCCAAATGTGCAAAACATCCACTAAACAGACTCATTGAGCCAATTGAGCTCTTTGAACTCACATCCCAAGGCCTCTGGGTTCGCCTGGGTGTGAATGCCATGCACCTCTCGAAGGTGCGGCACCTTGGACCTTACTTGGCGTTCAACTGGTTTAGGGTTTAGGGTTTTTAGGTTTAGGGTTTAGGGTTTAGGGTTTAGGGTGTAGGGTGTAGGGTGTAGGGTTTAGGGTTTAGGGTTTAGGGTTCAGGGTTCAGGGTTTAGGGTTTAGGGTTTAGGGTTCAGGGTGCCTTTCTTGTGATTTGGGGGTAGAGGATGCGTCTAAGGAGTCTCCAGACACAGTTTGGACCTGAAAATGTTGGCGGCGGGCTTTGGGCTTGAGGATCAAGGCACAAGGTTTGCTCTTCTGATCCAAAGTCGTACGCAATGCGCACGTCATTCCGGCTCTAAATTTCCAAGGGGCAAGGCCAGGGCCAACGCCATGGACAGCAGTACAGATCTGCGGCGCGCGCGTGCTGCCGACGCCATGGCTTTACGGGCCCAAAGCACGGGCTGGCTTTGACGCGATGTTCAACATAATTTTGGTTGGCCTAAACTTATTGCTGCTATTCAGGATAGAAATTAGTTTTGCTTGTCAGCTGCGCTTGTCGGATCGTGTGCCATCCAAACTGGGCTTTCAGCCTGCGACCTGCCGGCGCAGGCACCTCGAGTCACGCTTCGTGTGAGGGCGGCACAAGCTCCACCGGGAGCAACAAGTTGCGGTCCATGTGTGAGAGATCGTGAGAGGGTCGTTCGTGCCCCCGCCGAAGGGATGGTCAAATCGTCAAAACAAGTGTTGCGAGCTCTTGCACAACGCGGCGCAGTGCCTGGCTCGTGCAGAGGTGCCTGAGCAAATTGCAGCCGGGCTTCGCCTTGGCCGCATGGTGGCCCTCCAAAAGCCTGCGGGGGGAGTCCGGGCCTTCGTCATGGGCGATTTTTTTCGGCGCCTCGTCTCGCGCACGCTCGCCCAGCAGTTCAGTGCCCAACTGCAGGAAGCTTGCGCCCCGTTCCAATATGCCCAAAGCAGGTACGGAAGCGCTGGCACGCGCCCTCCGCTTCGCTAGGGAGTCCAATCGCTCTACCACCGCGGTCAGTGTTGATGGGGTTGGAGCCTACGACCACATTTCCCGGAGTTGCACGTTCCAAGGTCACAGGGGGATCTGTTGATGCCCGGACTGTTTGCTGTCGGCATCCACCGAGCGTTGCAGACGACCCACTCCACTTTTCCGCCTGGGAGAAGACTTGTATTCATTTTTGGATGACACATACATCATCATACATCACGTGCCCGGTTGAACGCGCGGTCCCCACCTTCCGTACCCTCCGCGCAGCGTGGGCGGAGCACGCCAACATAGACTTGAACCTCGGCAAGACGCGAGTTTGGAACGCAGCGGGCGAGGAACCTGAGGGCCTGGCGGCGGAACTGCCGCCCCTGCCAGGACACCCCCCAGTGTGGGTTGGTGCCCACTCTTTGCCGGCAGAACAACAAGGCATGGGCGTCCTAGGCACACCGTCGGGCAGCGATGCTTTTGTTGATGCGTTCCTGCAACACAAGATAAGGACCCACACGTCCTTGCTGTCCAAAATCCCCGCCGTCCCGGACCTTCAGGCGGCGTGGCTGCTATTGCTCATGTGCGCCGCCCCGCGTTGCCACTACCTGCTCCGCGCCTTGCCGCCCTCTGCCACGGCGGCTTTCGCCCGCCGCCACGACGAGATGGTTCTCACTTGCTCGGGGGCGTTGTTGGCCAACGATGCACCGCCGGAGTTGGACGCCCTCACCGCGGCGCGACCGCAGTTGCCTTTGCACTTTGGTGGGCTCGGTTTGCGGTCCGCAAAGGTCACGCGGTCGGCGGCACAGTCAGACACCCTCCCTACACTCCGCGAGCGACACCCCAAGAAGGTTGTCTCCTGCCCTGCGTGGCCGCCGCCCTTGGCTCGGAGTCGAGTCTGCGGCGAGCTGGCTTTGACGCCCCGCCTTGGCGGCAGCTGAGCTGGTTGAAACTTCCCGCCCTGAAACGCCGGCGGTACGCAACTTCGGGGACCCTCTGCGAGGATGGCAGCGGGCCGCCACGTCACGCTTGGATGCAGCGGCGAAAGCCTCCTTTCTGACCTTGACCCGGCTTCTCGCGCGCTTCTGTTGTCCCAAGTTGGGCCTGGCGGCTCACGAGCAATCACCGCACTCCCCACCGCGCCTGAGCTGCGCATGCCATCCGATTGCATGCGAGTCGTGTTGTTGCGGCGCTTGAGACTTCCGCTGCCGCACGTGCCCAGGCAATGCCGCTCTGGCGGGGCTTTGGACGCGCTCGGTGACCACCGGGCCTGCCCAGTGGCGGGTGTTCTGGGCCCGCGGGGCGCGCCTCTGGAACGAGCCGCCGCCCGTATCTGTCGGGAAGGCGGGGCCCGAGTGGCGACAAATGTCTGGTTGCGTGACATGAACGTTGACGTGCCGCTGGCGGACTCGCGCCGCATAGAGGTCTTCGCGGCTGTGGCAAGGTTTTGGGGTTTTAGGGCTTTAGGTTTGTTTGGGTTTTAGGGTTCAGGGTTTTACGGCTTCAGGATTTTTAGGGCAGGAGCTGCTGGCATGCCACACGTGCGAGGAGAAGGTCCTACGAAGCCATTAGCGCTGGTTTAGGGTTTAGGGTTTAGGGTTTAGGGTTTAGGGTTTAAGGTTTAGGGTTTAGGGGGTTGGGGGTTTAGGGTTTAGGCTCTAGGCTTTAGGCTTTAGGCTTTGGGGACTCTTTGGGGTTTAGGGTGTGGCAACGTTCTTAGCGCGCGTCGTGGGCCCTCTAGATTGGGTTTCACGAGCCCACTCCCACGTGCGCGTCACGTGGCCCCTGGTGATTGGGAGCAAGTGCAGCTTTTTTTTTCTGCACTTTTCATGGGGTGGGTACAATTGTGTGCGAGGCCGGAACGGATTCAAAGTCAATGAGTCATGCCGCCAGCGAAATTGCGCCTGCTTGTTTTGACAAACGCACTACTCGTGCTTAACAAACGATATAAACGATTCAAAATCACAGACCGGATGTTGCAACGTCTAGCAAGGCTTGATCTGCGGGCCTGACATCTCGACCTGTGCAGCTTTTTGACAGAAGCCCGCTAAGCATCAATTATTTTCGATGACTTCACAATACAACAGTTCGGGCAAATGAAGCTTCGAACGAACCTCGCCGGAACCTATGACGTTCGTGCTCCATCTGCCCGGCCCAAGACCTGACGCGCCGCTTCATGAAGTTGGCGAAGTGCTCCTGCCAAGGACTGCTTCACTTGACCCCGCATGTCCAACGATGGGAGATGCCTCCTTCAATTCACGGAGGCGTGGCGTCAAGCGAGGGCGAGACAGCCGGCATATGGGAAGATCCCCGTTAATCAGCTTTTTGATCCTTGAGGACTGTGCCGCGCCTTTTCAAGCGGAAACACCATGTGACAAACAAGTTTGCCGGAGACATGCTGCAGAATCACCAGGCCACCACGTGTGGATGGCTTTGGTGACCCAGTTGATGTGAAGTCCGCCTGAAGAAATGTGCAAGCCGTAGACGACTACTTGTCTACCTAGGTAAAATTCACTGAGGATGTCAAGCAGTAAGTGGCAAGCTGCAGTTTCCTTTTGAACATGTATTTGATTGCGACAGTCATTCCCGATGGGCCCCACTTTGGCTAAGACGTTTGTGTCAGGGCTTGGGCCCGAAAGCCTTGGTGCAATACATGCTGTAAGCACATCAACTGCACATTGCCAGTGTTACTTGGTTTGCCGAGCCGCGCTCGGGGTCGTACGCCATCATGGTTGTGCCATGATGTGGAAGGTACGCTGGCGCCTCGGCAAAGCAAGCAATAGACTGACCTGACTGAAACTACCAGCATCTGTAAGCCCCCTGCATCCTGACATGCTAGGGTGTGTCAAGCTTGCACCAAAACGTGAATGCAAGAACTGCCCTAGTCTGCAATATAAGCAATGCTTTGGCTCAGCGCGCTCGCCAGTGTCAGCACGTGCTGGATGTCTCGGCATCACAACAGTAAGATCGTGGGTCGCCCGCCGTGTGAAGTGGTTCCTAAAACGCCTTGGCGCCTTTCCTCATTTCACTGACTGCTGCAGCTTCCGCAGGCGGGCTGAGCCCTCCAACCAGCCTTGTGGAACGAATAATCAATTCGGCCGCGTCTGAGCTGAAACAGCTTCGGAATTCATTGGCTGCAAAAGGCATATCTCCATCGTCGTCACCGCAAGAAGACGCTCTCCGGCCTTGCCTGGTTGCTGCCGAATTTTTTCTAGTCAACATGCATGCCGTTCAGCACGACGATGCGCAAGTCGCCGTGTAAGACTAAGACCTCCGTTGCCAACGTGAGCTGTTTGTGTCATTGTTGCTCACTCACTTTGCGCGTGGGCGTGGGCGCGTGCGCACGGGTGCGGGTGGGCGTCTTGCGTGTGGGCGTGCTGCCCTCGTTTATGGGAGGGGGTCATTCCCCACTGCTGCAGAATCTCAACATCTTCGGGCAGCGGGAGTCGCAATCGCGGCAACAAGAGTACACGAAACTCTGCACTCGGGATGGTGGCCCCTTCGTGCGTAGGCCGGACGATGAGGGCACGGGCAGCGTGCGGGCTGGCCCGCGACAGCAGCAGCGCTCTGGATATGATTCGTGCGGTCGCTCCCTTTTTTCTCTCCCTTACAATCATATCGAATCATATCCTCACAGCGGTCCCCTTAAAAGCCCAATAAAAAGAAGAGAAAAAGGAAGGGCCTTTTTAGGGAGCGTGAGGACATGAGTGAAAGAGTGAGAGAATCGACGAAGCGAAAGAACGAACACGCGCTTACTTCGTTCGGGCTTACTTTCACTGCACGCGTCATTCTATTCCTTGTCAATTCATTTCATTCTCACTTCGTATTATTATTAACCTATCCCGCGAGCATAATATTCTTACCGTGAGCTCGCGAACAGTGAGGAGAATAATATTATTTCGAAGGCAGTAAGTTAACGCACGGGCCGCAGTAATAATGTTATGAACGAAACAACAGGAATAATATGCGTACGGCGGGCTCACTATAACTTCCTTTTTGCCCGCGTTTCGTTCACAAGTCCACGCGGATCACGCACTCCGTTCAT